GACTGCAAATCACTGCTCCAAGATACGTTCATAGAAACTCTCGAGCGCAGGTAATTCTACGTCTCACTCCTGAAGCGCTAGAAAAGCCACATTTAAATTCACTAGAGATGCCAACCCAAATCTTCCTAGTAAAAGACAGGATCCCAAGTGCAGCCTCTTTACTGTGTAACTATGTTTACAAAATTCATTTTAGTCTTTCTAGTTTACCAGACAGTAAAGATATAACATTACTGGCACTTGCCTTCAAAGCCAGTCATGAATCAATAAAAAACAATCCATCCTTTCAGACGACTATAAACTAAATTCCTCATATTCTTGATTAAATAGTTACTCCATTGGTGTTTGCTATTTGCCTTTGCAAGATGAAAGAAAGACCCTCCTGACTATGAATGACTATCTTTCCAGAGTGGATTATCTGACTCCTAGGGTAAGATAATTCATCCTCACAGGAAATGGAAGAAAGGAGAAAGATTGTATACTATTGAATTAAATGAACCCCTAATCTAAAATTTCCACTATTTACTAGAAGAGCTCAAGTTTTTTGCTTAGAAAGAGAATCTGGGGGTGGGGGTGGAGTTGGAATAAATGTGGGTGACTTTCCTCCAAGGAAAAAGTCCTTGATCCATTCATAAATAACTAATTCTAAGCAGAAATAAAATGTAAGAAGCAACTATTTAACTCATAGAACTCTGATTCATACCGGTAACAAATCTCTCACAGGGCTATAGAAGTTTGCCTCTGACTGCTTTTCCTCTTCTCTTGCCAGACTCAGTCTGGCAACAGGCCTATTATCATGCAGTCAGTAGAGAAAGAAAGAAAGAAAGCCATTTCACGTCAGGAAAGAGTCAATTCAATTAACTTTCCTCCCTACTCGAGGCACCCAATTGTCTACAAGTAAAAGAGAGATCCAGAAGCTCTTAAGAAGAGAAGTTGCACATACAAAGGACAGATCTTTACACATACAAAAGAAGACACTGGAGACTGGAAATGGAAAGAAGAAAATATTTCTCTCTCCTGGTACCGTGGTTCAAATTTTTCCTCACAACATGAGGGACTAATTCTGTAGGTAGGAAACAAAATCTGAGAAACAAAGATGAAATGTAAAAATCAAGGAAAGAAGAATAAAAAGCTGAAGAAGAAAATCACTTAGGGAGCGGCAGCAGGCAGAGAATTTCTGGAGTGAACTCACTGTGTAGCTCAGAGGAAGCCACTCTGCCTTTACACGCTTCAGTTTTCTCATCCCTAAAACGAAGGGGATGAGCCCCAAGAGCCTCTACAGCTGTAGTGCATTTTGTGTTCTTGGAATAACAGAAAACTTAGATAAATTACTAACAAAGATTAAAGTCTTTACAGATTTAATCATTTCATGCATATCTCTATACTTCTAGAGAGAGTATCTGGACATCTGGCTTACTGACAGTAGATATATAAGAAAGGGTAACTAAAATGAAGCCGGATAATCTGGCTAGACACATCAATTTTAAGTTAAAGGTATTCTGTTCTCTACTATATCCTACCTGAGAAAAGATCAGGTAAATTATCCAAACTGAAGGATGCTCCACAATGCACCTCTAGATTATGACATACAAATCTAATTTTTTTAAGTAAAGGCTTTGGTTAGTCAGTAATTTCATTTTTAAATAATACTATCATAATAACAATGAAAATACCTAATTTTTACTGAGTGCTTCCTACAAGCCAGGTACCATTTTACAGGCTTTTATATAGATGATCTCATTATCATTCTCATTTTACCAAAGAGAAAAGAAAAGCATAAGTAACTTACTTAACTCACAACTAATAAGTGGCAAAGCTGTTCCCTCAAGTATAACAGTATGTCTCACTCTTTCAACATTTATTGAATGCCTACCACACTCAAGGCAGTCAACGTGCTAGACAAGGACATTTTTTGGGAAATCAGAGTCCAGTAAAGAATATAGACATGGGCCCCAAACAATGAATGATAATCACCCCATACAAAGACACATCACACAAAGATACATCACTGCGAATCTCAGAACCCTAAAGAGAGACAGGGAGGGAGGGAGGAAGGAAGAAAGGAAGGTTCTACCAGCTTAATTCTACAAAGGGCAGAAGAGAGGGAAGGTCACACAAAGAATCAAGAACCAGAACGGCTTTGGCCTTCTCACTGGAAGATAGAAGACAATGGAGCAATGCCTTCAAAATTATGAAGGCAAATGATTTCAAGTTTCAAATTCGATACCCAACCAAACTACCAACTAAACGTGAGAGTAGAATAAAGACATTTTTCAGACATGTAATGTCTCAAAAAGATTACATCTCATGTACCGTTTCTCAGAAGGAGCATCTATCAAAAACACAAGGAAAGCTAGCATAAATGGAACAGAAGAAACACCACAGGAGAGAGGCAAAGCAAATCCCGAGGATGATGATGATGGGAAAGAGCTGGCACAGCTAGACAGAAAGAGCAACCCATCCAGATGGAGCAGTATGACTCAAGAGACAGCATATTGAGGAAGGACTGTCATCATCAAGGTGGCTCTTACTACTGTATTGGCCCTTTAACCTGACAATGCTAAGGAAGTCCTCCCCAGGTTCATTTTTACACAAGATTTGCTTGGGCTATGTGCTAATGAAGTTCCTGCTTTCTCTTCTACGCCCTACTTCGTGGATCAGCCAAAGACACTCAATTTAACTCGAAGAAATACTCTGCTTTAACCTATTTTTGAGAGCTGGAGTTGGCCACAATAAACTTAGAAGCAGAAAATATAGAACAGCCCATTGCCCCCGATCATGTTCCTATTGGATATCCTGTAAGAACCTGGCCCATGCTACAGACCTGCCAGATGCCCTGACTACGCTAAGCCCTATGTTTCCCAGGACTCACTTGCCCACTGACTTCCCCAGAAGGGATGCTTATAAACTATCAGGGAAGTTGAAACTAGATTATAATTCAGAGACATCAACTTTTCTTTTCCAGAAATATTTTAGCCAAGAGGGACAATAATGCCCTTTTTTTGCACAGCCAGGTATGTACTTGTCTATTCAGCTTATATATTAGGCACTTTTAACATCGCTTTACAGATAAACAAATAAATAAATATAAATAAAGCAATGTAATATTTGCTCATTAAAAAATAAATAAGATAGTAAAAACTACTACAAAGGAAATAAAACTTGTTGACAGGACAGAGTATGGATGACACCAACAATGGTTAAAAGTTTTCAATGCAACTGGAAGTTTTTGAACCAGTGTGGGCCCTGGAAACTCAACTGCAAGTGGGAAGAATTTCCTCTGCTGCATGAGTTTAGATGAACCAGCTTCTAGAAGTGTAAGCATGCTTGGTTCATAGGAAAATTATTTCCTGTTATATTAAACAAGTAGGTACTCAGTAGACTTTCTGTACATGCCAAATTCAAGTACTCTCAAATATTCTCAAATCAACCTTGAAGTTTTTTCCCCCACAATATAAAAATATTCAATTTTATCTCACTGAGCTTGTATAACATAAAATACTTTTCAGAGTATTTTCCTTGATTCATGGGAGAATTTTCTGGCTCACAGCCGCAGAAAGCTTTCCATGATAGTTTTGGGGGTATTGTTTTGTTTTTTAATTACTTTCAATCTTCTCTTACAACGAAAATTAGAGGCTTCAGTACAGGCTGGTTTGAGCCTTTAAGGAGACAAATCAGAAGTTAAGTCTTAAAGAACAACATTAACCTAGCGCTGGCAAACATAGTTCTTCTGTTTGAGTCAATAGTCATTCACAGGAGGAACAAACTGTTACAAACTACAAATATTCTAGGATATTCTACAAATAGATTTTGTTTAGGCAAAGGGTAATTCCCTGTCTTCTAGTGCGTATTATCTAACTCAAATAACCCAATCTATAGGATTTGCAGTTGTTAAAGGCTGCTGCCCTTCAACTTTTCTTAATAAATATAAATCATCTTGGAGAAAAACCAACTAAAATGGCTTGAATACATTGTACACAAGACTCTCTCCCTATGACCTGGCCCCTCGCATGGCTCTCCAAATTCATCTATTACTCCGTTCCTCGCGCCCTATGTTCAGTCAGGCTAGATGGCTCTTAGTTCACCACAGGCCACTCTCAACTCTAGGCCTTTCAACAAGCCCTTCTCTCTCTGCGTCACTTGTCCATTTTATCTTTCAGGTTTTAGCTTAAGCATCACCTCCTCAGAGAAGACTTCCCTCGCCATATCCTCCCACGACATCTCATATTTCCTTCTGCATGACCCTCATCATGACAAACTCTAGTCCTCTAGAGGGCAGGGACCATGTCTATCTTATTCATAGCTGTGTTCATGTCATCTAGTATACCACCTGCGAATACCTGTTAAACTGGACTCAAGTTTTCATCGTTAGATTTTAAGTTAAATATGCGTAATTTTCAGTTAATTGGACCAGGAAATAATTCAAGTTTTTTGAAGTAAATACCTGACTTTTAACCTTTCTTTCCTCCTCTATGTTCTTATACTTTCTTTTACTTCCTTTAAAAGTTAACTACTGGTTTCCTTTTAGGCTGGAAGAAAAATTCAGATTCATTGTATGACTGCTTCAATAATATTGGGACTTTATTCTCTTTTATAATATTACTCTCAAATGATAACATAAGTATATATCATAATTATCCTATAATTGTAATATTGATAGACCATCCATTCAACAAATATTTATTATGAACCCTCTACATATTAGATATAATACTAATTGTATAATATATGAATTTATTGCTATCTTCTTGCTATTCAGAATATCATAGCTCTGTACTTTCCCTGTCATTTAAAAATACACAGTAGCTACTTTCTCTCAACAATGAAAGAACACATTTTTCTTTAAAATATTCATTCTAGAGGGAAGATCTGAGAAACAAGAATAGACAGGAATAACTCTAAGTACATCGTGTCTTGGAAAGGCAGGCATAAGTACATTCTTAACAGCAATAAAAGGACTCAAATTTTTTGTCAGCTTCTTACATTACAAGCAGTCCCCTCACCTTAGAGGTTGTATTATCCCAAATGGCAAGACCAAAGTAGTCTTCTTCCAAAAGATTGAGGTGCTCACATACTCGTTTATGCAAGTCTTGTCCCTTAGCATGTTTCTGCAAAGACATACATACTTTAGTTGAGGTTTCCTCTTATTCCTGATTCATCACCAAATAAAGTGTCACTTTCCAATTTTGTCGTTTATCCTTGGTTACTAAGGCTTTCAGATGGCTATACAGTGTAAGGAAAACAATGTGAGTTATAAAATTCCTATTTCTTAATTTGTCAGCTTAAATATGCAAAACACACTTATAATGGCTTGGAAATAGTGCTCCAATTCAAAGCACAATTCCTCTTTCCCTCCATCTACCATCCCCCACCTCCATCCTAAACATCACATTCTTTATTTTTGGTGCAATATTTCCTGAAACTTGCTATGGGCTGCTGTCAGTCACTGTGGCCACCTGAATTAACAGAATCAACTGTCGACACTGACAGTTAATAGTGGCTATGCAAATCATTAGACTCCATCATCCTCAGACCAAATGTCCCATGAGAATGAGCCTTGTCTCAACTCCCTGCACTCTCTGTCAGAAAAATGCATACGGTCTAAACTTCGAGGCACCCAACGGGATATTACCTGTTGTAGCGGTTCTTTCAGTTGTGCTACAAATCATTTTCTTAATGTGTCTTCACCGAAAAAGTCAAACCACTGTCACATTTGGGTGCTTGTAGTCTTATTTACAAGGGAGAAATGTCTAACTTAGAGGCTGAGATTTAGAGTCAAAAAGTCCTGGTTCTTCCATTTATTAGCTAAACAACCTGAGTTGATTCAATTAATATTTCTGAACATTAGCTTTCTCATCTGTACAATAAGAATATTTACACCTGTCCTACCTATCTATGGAATTGTTGAAAAAATCAAACATGCTAATGCCTTCTGAGAAACATAGTTTTTAAAACTTCAAAAAAATTAGAAGTCATTTTTTGGCACAGATATACTACAGGTCCTTCTCTCAATGAGCTGAGTTATTTTTTATGACAATTAGTAATTCACATAGATGTTAATTCTTTTTCAGACTTAACCCATCTACATTACATCATCTTCTTCATTTTCTTCCCTCCTATGTTTTCACTCTAAAAGACAGAGATGATTTGGGAATTCTTCATGTACAAGTCAAGTCCTTACTCCCTCATTCATAATTCCAAAATCCAGAACTTCTAAAAAGTAAAAGGTTGGTGTTTTTTGGTCACTAAAGCTCATCTGAAGGCAAATTCTGACCTGAACTGTTATGAGGCTATTTGTGATCTTTAGGTATCCATCTTAGAATGAATCTTCATATATTTTACCATAAAAATAACATACTTGATCATGTGGGCACTGCCACATACCCTACTGGGTATGTTACGAAATATGCAGAATATTACTTATTGCTCATCTAAATTCTGAATTCTGAAATACACTTACCCTCAAATGGTTCAGATATAAGGGACCTATATCTGGATCTTGGTCTGAATGGAAAGAACGAGTGTAGAATAGCTTTCCCCATCTCTAAACTAGATAATGGTAAGAAGTAGGAAGAGCAGACCCTACGTCTCCTCTGTTACCAGGTGTAGTAGCTATCTTCAAAGTACAACAGTACATTTTTCTTGACTTCCTTTCTAAAACTTGGAGAAAGAATACCTATTAATTAATATAACACATATTTTATACTATTTATTTGTGCTTTAATAGATTTGTATTTGCACATAAATAATTCAATTCAGAAATAATTTGTTACACACCTAAGATACAAGTATATGTGAATTATGTTTTATCAACAAAAGCTATTGTTAATAATAATCACAATGGATTATATATCAAGCATATCACAATTGACAATTATTGCTCCAGTTCAAAAAGGTAGTTAATAGATTTTTAAGGATTTTAACTTGTCTTGAAGGAGCAAAAAAGTAACTGAATAACTCTGACATTTTTATTCAATCCTGATACATTACTTATTCTTTCAGAAAATAATAGAGAATTTTAAGAAACGGCATTACTTGATTTAAATTTTTTATATACTATCTCATGGGGCTATAGAAATACATTAAGTAAACTAAAAGTTTAGATCTGGGAGAGCAGAAATGAATAGAAAGTAATTTTTTTGACAAATACAGTTATGGAGACAGATCGACCTAATAACAGAAATTGAGGCTATCCTAGGAAATTTAGTCATGGAAGGTCACTCTATAAATATACCCCCCCCTTTTTTTTTGCTGAGGAAGATTGTCGCTGAGCTAACATCTGTGCCAGTCTTCCTCTATTTTGTACGTAGGTCACCACCACAGCATGGCTGATGAGTGGTGTAGGTCTGCATCTGGGATCCGAACTGCAAACCTGGGCCGCTGAAGTGGAGCTCACCAAACTTAACCACTACACCACAGGGCCAGCTCCCACCCTTTTTTTTCTTTTAACAAAACTGTTTTTGATTATAAAAGTAACACATGCTCAATTCACAAGATTTGGCAGATACAGAAACACACAGAAAAGAAAATTAGACTAACTTATAATCCTTCCACACTTCCACCTCCAGAAAATCATTATTAACATCTCAGTCCACAGAAACAGTCATTATACTGGGACTTATCTCAGGCCATGGCACCACTTGCCCAACCCTACATGAAACAATTTATAAGAGTTCTGACTCCTGGAAATTAAAATACACTCACCTCCACAACACATTCATAAACTGTGTCATCCAACAAAGAAACCTTGCAATGCATGTTTCTGTGTCTTCTGATTGATTTCTGGGAAGCTTTTAATTCTCTTTCTGCTTTAGATTCAGGACTTTCTTCTTTCACTTCTATTTTAGAGCACTCTTCAAGACCTTCTTCTTCCTTAGTTTCAAAGTCTGGGTCTTCTCTGCGTTCTTCCTGAGCAGGCTACATATCCATGATACCACCAAGTCAGTAATAAAGACATTTCACAAAACATGCTGTATACACTTTTACCTATGATAATGCTACCAATAAAAGCACTAACTGAAGAAGAAAAATTGTTACAACAAATATAAGTGACATTAAGATTAAATAATTATTTTTCTGTAAAAGATATTATGATCTCCCAAATGATCTACAGACCGCTATTCTCAAAGCTTCTCAGATAGAATCTTATCTTTCAAATCAATAAATGAAGGTTACAGGTAAACTAAGGGGACCCCAGTCTATTGCTCTCAGCATTATATTTTCTTCCTGACTATCCATTATACATTAAAGTCCATCAAAACTTTCACATCTCTGCCCCAGGTGCCTCAATTTTAGCAAGGAAGTTTTATGAATTTCAAAGCGAGATGTGATTTGTCACATATTCTAAATTTTATGAATGACTAAGAGGGGTTCTTGGGACCAATTTTAGAGCCTAAAGCAACTTACGTAGTAAGCTAACAACTGTAACTACCAGTTAACTCCTTTCCACCAGGTAGCAATCATGCTAAATGCAAAAACTCAAAGAAACAAGAGATGGATGGAAATCTGGGTCTCCTACGATAATCACTAAATTATCCCAAAGTAATACAGATAAGTGGGACAACATTTTGGCACATACTTTCTTACTTCCAACACAATAAAACTGATGAACAATTCTTAATTAAACCTCACCAATTCCTGTATTTCAAAAGAATACATGGTTGACGTCTAGGAAAAGGGATTTAAAGATGTATTTGGTTCCTGCAACAGAAATCAGAGGTGGTCTAAACGGCTCCTCCCTGCCCTTTACGATCCTCTTCACTGCAATCTCTTCGTCGAGGCCTGCACTGGCTACCCTATCTACCCTATCCCCACTCTACTATTCTTCACGTCAGTACCCTGTTTATTGCCTCCGTAACATTTATTACAATAATAAGTTATTTTTTATTTACTACTTTTTTGTCTCCTCCATTAGACTATAAAGTCCACAAGAGCAGAGATCATGTTTTATAATAATCATAATCATAATAATAGCAAACATATATACAGCTATTCCAATAGCCATTCCAGTTACTGTTCTATGAGCATTACCTATATGAATTCATTTTATCCTCATAATAACCCTATGGGGAAGGTACTATTATCATCCCCACTTGACAGATGAGAAACGGAGGCCAGAGAAGTTAAAGTAACTTGCCCAGGGTCATACAGTTAATAAGTCACACACCAGTCCGGCTCCACAACCTACGATCTTAAACCTCTTTGCCATATTGTAGTTTTCATTAACTACTGTATATCCAGCTTAGGGCCTGGCACACATGGTAGGTTGTCAATAAATATTTGCTGAATGAATAAAGAAACATTAAAAACTGACATATGTCTTCCAAAAATTCCAAGGTAGCCTAGATGACGACTGAAGGTGTAGACCTATAATGCAAACTCGCTTTAAAAAATCCCGGATAGAAAATGAAATTCTACTACAAATACAGAAATATGGTTAACCAAATAAACCTTTATCCACAATGTTTTGTGCCATGAGGTTTTGACTGTAAATAATAGATTGCAAAAGGCCTAAAATACTTTGCTCCTTTAAACAACATCCCCTTGAAATTTAACAGTACTAATTTGTTTCTTTTTTGTCATATGTAGACAAACACCTGCATACAATTTATCTCAATTCGGAATTAATGAAGTATCAGTGAATGAGACTTTAGTTCAATCTAAAATTAACTTTGTGTGTCATCTGCTTTAACTTCACTACAAATGATATGTTCTTTAGACAAAATAGACAAGCTCTGATTCAAACGTTAACTAATACAAGAAATGGATTTTTCCTACATAAAGCAGAGGAGGAAAAAAGCAGTTAAAAACCTTGAAAGTACCAAAGTTCCTAAAAGACAATATACTTTAACTCTCTTGGTATTCCTAAAATAAAATTAATGATATTAAGATATGTAGAGATTCTTTGCTTTTACTGTTCAGGTTTATTAACTGAGTAATAATAACTAATATTTATTGAGTGCTTATTATATTCCAGGCAATGTCTTAAGAGCTTTACATGTTCATCTCTTTTAATCCTCATAATAGCCAAATAAGGTAGATATTATTATCCTCATTGTAGAGAGGAAGAAACTGATAAAGCAAAAAGAGTCACTTCTCTATGATTTGAACCACCTGGTCTGATTCCATAGCCTGCTTTTTTTTTTTTTTTTTTTTTTGCCAAGGAAGATTTGCCCTGAGCTAACATCTATTGCCAATCTTCCTCTGTTTGCTGAGAAGATTCGCCCTGAGCTAATATCTGTTGCCAATCTTTCTCTCTTTTTTTTTGTATGTGGGCTGCCATGACAGCAGAGCCACTGACAGATGAGTGGTGTAGGTCCATGCCCAGGAACCAAACCTGGGCTGCCAAAACAGAGTGTGCTGAACTTAACAACTAGGCCACTGGGGCTAGCCCTCATAACCTACATTTTTAACTATTACATTATATAGTTAATCTTGTTTACAATCTTGATTCACTAATAGCAAGTGCATAATTCACCCTAAATTTTACTTTAGCACTTTTAATATACAAGTAATATTTCTAGAAATACATGTAATTTTAGAAAATTCTAATAAAACTGTATAGCCCAAATCTGAGATGGGACTTATACTTTTAACAATGCAGATTCAGAAATGAAAAGACTTTGAAGATAACTCTCAATTTGTAGATATTAAGGCTGAAAACAAACGAGATTCCTAGAAAACAGTTTGAGTTACAGTACTAATATTTCCCATGTTTTTTGGATACATGAACAAATTCATAACTCATGTTAACTTTACCTACACTGTGACACAATTAAGGCCCCAAACTACTATATATTACAAAGGTGGTATAAAGAGCTAGACTTCCGCATCTATATCTTACACCCTGTGGTCTAGTTGGCCAATATGATCTAGTTAGAGAAAACAACAAAAATAAGTCAGGCATGGCTCAAACTTATCACATACCTCTGGATGGCTTGAATCTATCACATGGCTTTTATGCAGATTCCCATAAAAGAACACGTTTGCTGATAACTATCCCATTCCTAACAATTCCACCAAAATGAACTCTAAACCACCTCAATTCCTCAATTCTTTTTCCCCTTTTATTAAAAATCTTGGACTTGTTCTATTATTACAGCAAAATGATATCTAGACTGAATAGACTCATTTAAGAAATTCTTTTCTTTCATTTTGTTTTCTTTGATTTATACAATATAAGTATCTTTTTAAAAACCAAGTTTCCATTGACTGTATTAATTTCTTTAGAGCAGAAACTCCAAAGCTTCACGATACTTATTACTGTCAATGCCTAAGTCAACTGGCTAGTAAGAAAGAAAACCAAATGTTCTTAAGCGGAAAATACCGCATATATCCCACCTTCATTGCACCCACCTCCCCTACGTTAGCACATCCTTACCTGTGTTTCTGCACTGCTTAATGAATGAAGATCCAAGGACGGGTCGGTTTTGAGTTCAGGTTCAGGAGCTGCAATTGGGGCCTTCAAAATGATCTCTTCATCAAGACTGGTTCCAAATTCTCTCTCTCTCTGACCTCCTTCACCTTTCTCTGTACCAGACTCTACTTCTTTGCCTTCTTCCTCAGAGACCTGAGATTTAGGCCTTTTGAGAAGTGAGGAGAACAGCCGTGACAGGCCCCTGTTTTCTGATGTCCGCTCCTTGTTCTTGGTCAAGTCTTCATGTATCGGAGTGTCTCCATTAGATGTTTTCAGCTTCTGCTCACACTGATTATCTCCCTCAGCGGCCGCTTGAGAAGTCTCTTCCAGCCGAGTTTCTTGTTGGCCTGAGTTTGTGGCCCCCTCTCCCTCTTCGTTCTGTTCTTGGTGCTGTGAATTTTCAGCTTCAGCCACTAAACTCTTTTCTGTTGTCATGACGTTGCTATTAAAAAGAAGATGGAAAAGGGAGGCTCTTAGAAGCAAAACACATTACTGTAGGCAAAACCCTAAATCAGGTCAAGTGTGCCAAAATTAATACATTTAGGTTTTTAATCTCCAACAGACAGTACTCCAGTCCATTAAAAAGGAGACTGTCCATTAAAGTACAAAAATATCTTGCCTATGCATCCTGAATAAATTATTAATGCCTTGACTTGCTAAAGATATACACATAGAGAAATCAGCTTAAAATAGTACCCCCCTGAAGGCATCTTGGTGAAATGCATCATATTTAAAATTCAATGTTCAGAACTGCATATAGCAAATACAGTTTTATCCTTCCTAAAAAAGGATCTTATTTGTATACTGTTCTTTGAGGATATCAGTCTGAAGGTGCAAGGTTTGCAGGAATTATTCTTTGTAAAATTCTCTACATCCCAAGAGCTGATGAGATTAAAAGTTCCTCAACTCTTTCTTCTTCTTCATATTTCTTAGAATGCATAGACTTCTCTATCAAGAACAGCAAAGGCAGAATTCTGATCATTTATCTGATTTGACAACAGCAGTATACGATTAAAATAATCGCTAAAGAATTCCTTAGGTTTTCATGTTACAATACTAAATTACAACCTCTTGCAGAGGCATTGCAGTTTAAGTTCTTTAAGATGTTTTTCCTTCTGACAAATACAATTTTGAATGTTCAGTATTTTTAAGAGTAGGCAGTGAAACTATTACAATAAAGAAAAATAGACAAATCATAGAGAAAAATAAAATAGAGAAGAAAATTTTAGAAAGCAGACATTAATTCAATTATGGTTGAGAAGATAGGCTGTATACCTCACATATTTCAAACTTACTGGTTTCTAGCCTCTTGATCTCAAAATCCCAGTGTTATTAGTCAAGTCTCACAAGAACAGACAAAGAGCATTGTCACATCTAGTTTACTAAAGAATAACCAACATACAAGAGGACTTTTGAGACACTCGGCCATGAAGTTGCCTATTGATCTCACACTTTGATTCACTGCTATACCGGGGCGGCTTCTGTAGGGGAGCCACGGTGTAACGGTGAATCACTGCTACACCTAAAAGTACTCCACTCAAAATGCAGCATTTGGGCCAGCCCAGTGGCACAGCAGTTAAGTTCGCACATTCCACTTTGGCGGCCTGGGGTTCACTGGTTTGAATCCCGGGTGCGGACATGGCATCACTTGGCAAGCCATGCTGTGGTAGGCATCCCACATAGAAAGTAGAGGAAGATGGGCACGGATGTTAGCTCAGGGCCAATCTTCCTCAGCAAAAAGAGGAGGATTGGCAGCAGATGTTAGCTCGGGGCTAATCTTCCTCAAAAAAAAAAAAAAATGCAGATTTACATTGTCTTCACATCTGCTCCATATTATTTAGATAAAGTAATTTTATTTGGATATTAACAATTGGAATTAAGGAACTCTATTTAGCTCATTCCCTCCTCAGGCCCTTCACACTTGCTGTTCTCTCTACCTATGATGTTCTTCTACTGGATATTAGAAGGCTATCATTACTGTCTCAGCTCAGATGTCACCTCCTTAGAGAGGTGTCCCCACACACTGTATCTAAAGTAGTGGCCCTCACTCCTCTAGACGGCCTGACAGCACTACTGCTCTCATTATTATCTACAATCATCCTGTTAACTTACTTATGTACTGGTTTATTGACCTTCTCTGCTTTTCCCTCCAGCCAGCTAAAATGTAAGTTTCATGAGGACAGAATAGTACCTGGCATATTATAGGTACTAATAAAAGCTTGTTGGGGGCCAGCCTGATTGCATAGAGGTTAAGTTCGGCACACACCACTTTGGTGGCCTGGTTCACTGCTTCTGATCCCAGGCATGGACCTACACCACTCATCAAGCCATGCTGTGGTGGCATCCCACACACAAAATAGAGGAAGATGGGCACAGATGCTAGCTCAGGGCCAATCTTCCTCACCAGGAAAAAAGTGTGTTGAATGAATTAATTTCAACTGAATATATATGACAAATATAAACTGCAAAGGTGTTGTCTAAATTTATTCACATAAATTTACTTCAAATGCATAATATTCCTTCATTCACTCAACAAATACTAATTAAGCACCTAGCACAGGTCCTAGGTGCTAGGGATACAACAGTAAATAAAACAAAATGACAAGGTCTAATGCCATCATGGAGCTTATATTCTTGATTCCACTTGAACTAGTATAAAGAAAGAAAAATTCAAGAGAACTCTTATTTATGACATGAGTTAAATCTAAATAGTGTATAAATGGAACAAAGCAGTGAAAGAGAAGGAAGCCAATGGTACTGAGAACATTTCTGTGTCAGGCCCCATGTCAGGAGCATCATCTACATTATCTCAATTAAGCCTTTCAACAACCCTGCAAGGGAAAGAGGAATCACCTAATCTTATAATGAGGAGATTGAAACTCAGGAAGTAACTTGCCCAACGTCACACTGCTAGTAGGTGGCAAACCCCTATAAGTGGTATTGAAATAAAGGCATATTAATAAAAGGAAAAGTCTTTATGCGGACTCTTACTGTTGATCTACTCAAATTATTTTATTTTAAGCCTTAAAACTATTTTAAGCAATAAAAATATTTAAAGAAGCACATTTTCCAAGTCATCAAAATTACTCTGTGCTAATAAAATACGCAATTCAATCTTTATAAACACTACTTAAAACACTTACCAACCAATATATATTCTTAATTTGTTACCCCTAGGTGAGATACACTTGTACTTAAATAAAAGAAATAAAATTGTCTTTAATTCTTCCTCGTAGTAGGAGTAGGCAATTGATTTTTCCAAAATTATTTTTCTTGGGGCCAGCCCCATGGCCGAGTGGTTCAATTTCCATATGCTCCACTTCGGCAGCCCGGGTTCACAGGTTCGGATCCCGGGTGCGGACCTACTGCATTTATCAGCCATGCTGTGGAGGCATCCCACACACAAAGTAGAGGAAGACTGGCACAGGTGTGAGCTCAGGCTAATCTTCCCCAAGCACAAAGAAGAGGAGGATTGGCAAAGGATGTCAGCTCAGGGCAAATCTTCCTCAGAAAACAAACAACAACAAAAAAACAAAACTATTTTTCTTTAATCACTAAGTAATCAAACTTGACCCAGAATGAAAATCTGGATATCAAACCACAAGTTATTCTAAAGAGTAATGATTGGATTTGAGAGTACCAGTTTACTTCATACTTCCTTTGCAAAAGCAAACTGAGGACAGGCTGAGGGTTTAGCACTATTTTCCATGGATTTCAGATATGACTTTACCATTCACCTTACTGAAAAGGAACAGAAACCACATCCACATTAAAATTTCCCTACACAACGTACTTTACAACAAGGTCTCTCATAAAGATCCATAAAAACAATTACAAACCTTTTGTGAAAGTTTTAGCAGACAAGAAAATTACTTAAACCCTATTTCTAACAGTCTTTTACTTGTATCTTTCAATGAAAAAGAGTATTTATTCTTCTGTTTTACAATTTCCCCCTTACAGTTTTAAAAATAGAAAAGATCTTCTAAGGATATTCCTATAATTCCTTTCATATGAAAGGGTGTCATCTCTAAGAAAGTAGCTGAATGAGTGTAAGTAATGAAATGTTAAAAAACAAAAACACAAACACACAGATGGTAACAATCCATATGCTATAAGTGTGCTTGTTAAACTTTAATGTGCACTGAGTCAACTAGCAATCTTGTTAAAATACAGGTTCTGATGTAGCATGTCTGGAAGGGGCCTGAGACTCTACATTCATAACAAGCTCCCAGATGGCACCAATGCTGCTGGCCCACTGACCACACTTTGAGTAGCGAGGCACAGAAAACCACTATGACTTTGGGAACATAGTCAAAATGCCTAAGAAACACAGATGGCAAAAAGCTACTTTTAGAAAGTGGAATATGAATAGTGAGAAATACTTGACACAATAAATGTTCAACAAATGCTTGCTGAATTAATGAATGAAGCAAAGAATGCAACACATTATTAAACATGGAAGCTGAACCATTAACATTTTTCAGAATTCTTTTTGGCATTTAATCAAAAGTTAATTGAAAATTTTAACCATAGAGCCGTGGCAATTCTAAGTTATCCATGTAGCTGTGACACTTGCCCAGAGTCAGTATTCTGGGTATCTCCACTCATATGATCTCTTTGCCACATTTAGAAAGGCACGATCAAGACATATGAATAAAGAATTAGAGAATAACATCTATCAGTGCAAAACTAATACATTTTGCCACATAACTGGACATAAGTAAAGAACAGATGAGAACACAATATAAGGAACAGGCACACAAGCAAAGGGGTGAAAGAATTCTACTGGAACATACTAAAACCAACTTTAAGTAACATGACATATTAAATACAAGAAAACAATCAGGAAATCAGATAATGCAGTATTCAGTAAAGAGGCTACAATTCAGTGTACTCAAGGAAAAATAGATTAAAATGAATTATTAAGGACAGTTTTCATGCATGTTCTTTCCAGCCATGCACACACAGGTAGCAATGCTATTAGTAAGAGCCACAAGAGCAAAGGGGAGTGAGGGTAGGGAGAGAATATAAAATGAAACCAATGAACCAGGCAAGTACCTCCAGTTAGCTCTGAGGCTGATCAGAATTAAACAAATAAAATATAAATAGCAAAAAGAAAAAATCCTATGGAACACTTACTAAAAACTCAAATAAACTCATTCTGGAAAATCTGTTATACATGCAGCCAAGTTCTTCACATTACAAAAGACAGACTAGATAACCAAAGGAAAAGATACAAAGAAGTCAAGCAGCAAAGACAGGATAAATGCTCTACAAACAGGCCCTTCCTATGTAAATGATACTCTTTCATTCTGGATACAAAATCCAAAAGGAGGTATCTGTTTACTACTTACTGTCAGAAAGAGGTCTTTTGATTAAAAAAAAAAAATCAGCACAGCACTGAAGACAAAGTGATGAGTTCCCATTCCTTCTTAATCCTAA